CACGGGAATTTACCAGAGCAAGGGGCAATTTTCCAAAAACAGATAGGCCCCTTATCTAATCATAAGTTCAAAGAGAGTCTACAAATGTTAATTTCATAATGTGAATAGATCGAACGATCAATTTAATAACTTTTTAATCTTAACAATATGAACAGGAAAGATTGATTAAGAACATCAAACTTGCACATTAAACAGTATTTTAAAGTAACTAAAAATATTGATGAGCAAATGAATAAATAAATTGTCAATTTCACAAACATCGAAAGTCAGAAGGACTTGGCAAGTTTACCGGGCCGGCCGGGTATCCCAAATCAAAATCGCACCTCACACACATTCCGCCACTCTCTCGGTAGTAAGAGCAAATTTGAAGAAATTATCTTTTTAACTGTTGTATAGAAAGGTCTAATTAGATAGGCCTAACTAATGAAATAAGGTGTAAAAATGTCCTTATAGACATTCGACAGCTGAAAGTGACACGCTCAGCTCAGTTGCGTAACGTGCATTCACGAAACCAAAATCGTTCCTCGCACACACACTCTCGCCACTTTTGGTGGGAAGCTGTCGGGCTGGAAGTTTGCCAGCGAAACCGATGCACCCTCGGAGATACGCAGCGCGTAATTTTACCGGGACTCGAAACGTTCATCTTGGGAAGCTGGCGGGGTAGCTTTTAGAAGCGAGGTCGGCTGGTGGCAAAATGAGAGTAACTACGATCGAGAACATCGTAGGTGTTCTTAACTTATTAATAAGATAATTCTAAATTCTATTTGAGATAAAATAATAAACTAGACCTACAAACAAACCTCGACAGATCTCTAATGACTATTTGAATGCTTGTTTATTTCTCCATTTGACGATTTGTTTTCTTGATCCTGGCCTTCGATTTGTACGTACGTGCGTGCGTCAACAGCATGCACCATATGCATATCATGCGATTGCATGAACGTACGTACGTGCGCTAGCGCATTGCCTATATAATAACAAAGGGCGCATTTTCACGGCACTTGCGCCTTATTAAAGCACTAAATACGAAGCTAGAAGAGAGCTCGTGGGCGGCAAACTATTCGTGATTCGTGTATTTGTACTGTTCTAATAATTTATGGGCGCATTTTCACGGAAAACACTTGCGCCTTGCCGTCTAGTTTTAGATGATTATGGGCGCAATTGGTGGTTTTATGTGCGCAAATGAAAAAAAAAAAGGGCACGTCCAGTTGGAAAAAAGGCACGTCGGCCAGTTTGAAAAAAAGGGCACGGCCTTTTTGGCCGTGAATTTATCTTTTTTTGGGAGGGCACCGCTGCCAGTCATAGGGGCATCAACGGCCTGGCCGTCGATGGCCGTCGATTAATTTAAGGCCGGGGGGGGGGGGGGGAGGAAAGGATAGGGGCTTGGTGTCTAAATGGCAATGATTTCAAGAATATTGAACATAATGGAGGGAAAGGAAATATGTTTAACATGATCAATTTTTGTTAATAACTCTTGAAAAAAATAGTGAATGTCTTAAAGAATATTGTGTACTTAACTTTAATAGCGACGGAATCATAAATATCATTGATTAAAAACATCTTGCTTATAAAGCCAGAAGGGTGTTAACTTTATACTTTGGCACAAAGTCAACATTTTAAAAGCTCCCAGCAGAAGACACACAGAATAAATATTTTAAATTTCACCGCAATTCAGTCATCAGTAATCATGTTTGTTAAAGAGAAGCAAGGAGTTTGATTTATTCAACACACTATTACTCATTTCAAAATAACTACTTTTCATTTTGACTTAAAACAGAAATAACACGCATGATTTATAGGATATGTGATTTGCAGCAACTGATGATTTACAGTTGTGGGAATTGCTGACGTCATTCTAATGCTAAAGTGCTCTTGTGTTCAAGCGATCAATTCTGCAACTACACTGAACCTGTGTACGTGTAAAACGCTCTTAATTTCTATCTAAAGACTTCCTCGTAAAAGTAAGGTTATATCATTCATAAGCAAGTATTTGCTTAAAATAGATCCTTCTTAGGTGAAGAGAAAGTTTAGAGGAATGATCATCAGTAGCTGTATGAATAGAACTCTGGTAAAAAAAAAAAAAAAGGAATGTGAAATTGACTGGAGGCAATCTCACAAACTATCGAAAATCTAGAAACAAAAAGAGAACATTGCTAATAATTCCTTACTGGCTCTTGATTGGTTGATTTATAAGTGAAATAAACAAGACTGGCTTGGTATTTTACAAACCTGTTATAAATATGTGATATTTAAAGTGTTCCCTTAAGAAAATATGTCATCTCATTTCTTAATGCAAAATTTTTGCAAATGGTATTATCTCATTTATGAACTAGGGAATGAAAGAATGTTTTAGTAATGCTCAAAATTCCTTGCATTTCTCTCTCTCTCTCCCTCTCTCTCTCTCTCTCTCTCTCTCTCTATCTCGTTCTCTCTCTCTATCTCGTTCTCTCTGTGTGCAATAAACTGAATATGATGAAAAGGCAGCAGTTGCCCTCATATATTTTCCCCATTCCCAACTTTGGCAGAAATGTTTATGGCTGAAAGATGTAAATTGGTCGTAATTCTCGGTAGACAGCTTTCGCAAATCTCGCAGGACTCTGGAAATTGTCATCTATTATTAGCGCAGTCTGCTGTGTTGTGGCACCAAATATGGATGCTCGCTTATCATGGAAATATGGAAATCTATTCCTTTTTGTCTGGGATGGAGTAATTTGTCTCAGTAGTGTAACTGTTTGTGAGATGGATTTGTAAAGTGACAGGATTTTGTTCCCCCGTGAAGTTCTGTTTATAACTCTATTTCAAGGAAAGCATATTTATCTATATATTGTATAGAATGTCATTCTAATGTGTTGTTCATGTTGTATAGAATCCCTGTAGATTGTGTATTTGGTTTCCACACTGCGAATGTTTACAAGAATGCATACTTTCTGAAAAAGGCACCCAGTGAAATTCATCGACACGGATATGGACACACGGGACCAAGTATGGATTTGAATTCACTAAAATGCAGCACCACAGCTATTGACATATGGGACTAAGCATTGTAGGACATACATGTACAATGAAACACATTCCACATGACATTTAGGACTACTTATTGTGTTGTATGGAAACCCAGATTTCCTTCTCATCCTTTTCTAATAATTACCAACCATTCATACCTGTACATGTTTACAATCAAAGCTTTATAACCGATAAATAATAAGTTGTAATTTTAAACATTTTTTTCGTACAACTTTTTGGATACTTAAAGATTATTTGGGGGAGGGGAGTTGTCTTTTACCCCAAAATCATATTCATATACCTCTACCATCTTTCTTTTTCTTCTTCATTAATAACAGGAGGGAGATTTTCATCATTTTAATCCTTATTTCCTTATATATGTTCATACTATCCATGCATTCTTGTTGTTCACAGGTTCATATGTAAGAGGTGATCTAACTTTCTGCTCACTATAGCTTCACTAATAAAAAATTATAATCTATTATGTAATTAATCCTTTATTGCTGTCTCCCGACATTGACCTTTAACCTTTTAATGGTTGGGTCTGAGGGTACTTTGGGTTCAATCAGACTCATTAGATATGCATGTCAAATTGTCTGTTTGGAGCCAGAAGGGAAATATTACTCAAATGCTTTAACACAAAGTTAACAATAGCTCTGAACAGACATTTCGTCGCTGTTTTCACGAAGTGACAGTAGTGAAAAAAAATTGCATTCACTTTGCGTGACGATTTTCCTCACTACCGTCACTTTGTGAAAATAGGGACGATTTAATCAATGTAACACCAACTTCACAAGGTTGAAAGGGTTCTTCATCTCATTTGGATAATTAATTATCACTAATACCCCATTAATACATTCTAACTTGCCCTTTCGCTACTTTATTAAGCCTCTTTCACATGTGAAGCAGTCACTGCCTCGACCAAACAAAAAAATCAAAATAAAACCATTTGAATGACAAATGGGGTGGAAACAAATAGCTGCATGCAACAAAGTCCCACAAGTATACTTAGTTTGTGTTGTAAGAAATGTGAAGGGCACTTTACCATTCTGTCATTCTTATTTTGTCACAGCAGTTTTTTGAGGCAGTTTACTGCATCATGTGAACAAGGCTTCAGAAGGATCCTAAATCAGCTTATCTCATTATTTGGGAAGTTAATTATTTTCATCTAATCTACCTTCTAACATGCTCATTTGTATTTTTTTTACATTATAGTTTTAATTTATACGTTGTTTGCGTCATTAAGTCTTGATCCTGTTCAGAGCCAGAAGATCCTTAAATCTGTTCAGTTCAAAGTAAATATAGTTGACGTCCTTCTGGCTCGAAACAGACAATATATGATTTGTAGATGATATTTGATTCTCATGTTGTTCTATGATTTTGTTTTATTATTTGCTAATGAAAATCTCATGACTTTATCTAACTATTTGATTTTTAGATGCCATTCATATTTCATATTGTTCACTTTTGTTTTAATATTTTGTTATGATTTTTACTATTTTACTTATGATAATGTCAATTGATCACTAGATGAATTCTGAAAATCATGAAATTGATGCGAAATTGTCAGAAATTTGGAGCATGTTAACCAGACTTTTCAAAGAATTTCCCAAACAAAATAAAGAGAAATTTTCCTTAAATTTACACTGTAGAATGCAGAATTGTCTGGAAAAGAAAATTTTGTGATTAATTCTACAAATGAATATACATATGGAAACATTACAACTTTAATATAAATTTGTCATGTATATCAATGCACACATGGCTATTTCTGTTATTCAAAATACGATTTTTTTTTTCCTTCTTCTTCTCACTGGAATATCTTTCAAATTTTTTAAATTTATTGCATTATTTTTTTTTTATAGGCCTTTTAAATCCACTGTGGGTATGGAAATTGGCTGAGCCTAGCTTTGGATTGTATGCACCTTATACAGCATTCATCTGGTGTTTAATTGACTCATCATAGTTATCCTGACAACCATTATTATCCTAACAACCACTATTATTTTTTGTTTCAATTACCAATTATGATTTTGGCTTTCACTCACACTCATTTTATTTTCAACTTTTCAGCGTATGGCATTGGTACTTCTACAGCAGACAGTAACACATTAGAAGGTAATGGAATATAATGAATGTATATGTGTTTGTAATGTGTCTTGACCTTTGATGTGCTTCATAAAGACTGGGAGTTCCTACTACTTCTACAGGAAAGAAAACGATTCCTATATCCAAACAGGGGGTCCTTTGGTGGTGAAATACATGCATTTAACATTGGGTAAATTTCAACCATTTCCAATCATTTTTTTCATTAAAGAAAACAAGGTGGACCCTTGTTTTACTGTAATTGAGAGGGATTCTATTTTACAGTAAACCCTATTTGATTTTTCAAGTTTTTGACATATTTTTGGAAAGAAGATTTTATAATGAGTCCTTTGATCGAAGCAAACATATTTTGATCTTGATACTGAAACTTCACCAGGATTTATACTATGAAATTGCCCTAAAGATGAAGTTTCAAAAGCATTTAATCATTCCAAATAAAATTAAGGCTAGCTGTAGTCAGCACCACCCAGTTGACAAATAAGAAAATTATCATTGAACTTTCAATGGTCCCTGTTTGAGGTCAGTTCTTTGTTTCACATACAAGTGATACAACCATGGCTTAAAGGCACACTGTCCTACTTGTAGCTAATTGCTCCCTCTATATAGAAAATTTCCCCAATCAGTGCCTGTTGGTCCCCCACGATCCTCTTTTTCTTATGTTAAATGAGAGCTGAGTTAATGAGATAGCCACCTGTCACAGTGACCTCGCTGGCTCGCTGGGCGGTCTAATCCCTTCTGGCTGAAGTAGTAAAAATTGCCTTTAAAACACCCTCCTCTGAAAAAAAAACTTCCAAATTTTTGTCTTCTGTTTGGAGCAAGAGGGCCTTTGGACTCAAGAAGAAAGCTAGCAATTTTGGCAATCTTACCATACCTCATAAAATCTTGGGCTGGATTTGCCTAAGATTGCCATGTACATCATGGCTTAAAACACCCTCCTCTGGATCAAAATTTCCAAATGTCTATCGTCTGTTTTGGAGCTCGAAGGCATTAATTCATGTAATTCACAGAGTTAACACCCTTCAGGCTCTGCAACAGACGATGTCCTTTGTCTTTCAAGAAGATAGCTGGCAACTTTGACCCGAACGTATCTTGCCCCACCTAATAAAATTGTTGAGCAGGATTTGCCTAAAAGATTGCCATGTACAAGCAGGGCTTAAAACAGCCTCCTCTGGATCAAACTTCCAAATGCATATCTTCTGTTTTGGAGCTCAAAAGCATTAATTCATGTAAATCACAGAGAGATAGGACCCTCCTGATTCTGCAACAGATATCCTTTGTCTTTCAAGAAGAAAGCTAGCTATACTTTGGCCCGAACGTATCTTGCCCCACCTCATAAAATTCTTGGTTAGGATTTACCGCCCAGAGCACTGACAGAAAAGGAAAGCTAAAGAGGAATTATTATGGGTTGATAGGATCATGGACCTACTAAACGATGGATTCAATTTGATCTGGATTTAGTTCCTTGGCTTATGTATGGATTGACTCAGTCCTAGCTAGCTTACTTTCATTGTGAGCTCATCTCAACTCGTAATCTACTCATTGGTAGATTACGTACAATTGCGTAACTCCCTGTCTTACTTTGTGTATCGTTACATGTTTTTGCTTCATTGTTGATGTGCATGAGCATGTGCATCAAATAGCATGTTTATATTGCACGGTCATGTTCATTTTCATAAATTTGTAATGAATGCATGTGCTTGTATTTGATATTTGTTGCAAAAGTGTTTTAACAACCAACTTCATTTTACCTTGTAACTTTTCTAGATGCTCCCTCTCTGTGTCTCATACCCTATCTCCGTCTCTCGATCTCTAGCGCTCCCTCTCCCTTTTTGTACCTCTTACCCCTTCTCCAACCTTAAAACTATTTCTCCTCTCTCTCTCTCTCTCTCTCTCTCTCTCTCTCTCTTTAATTGGAATGTAGTTTTGCATATTGATGTAAAAAATATATGTATACCGGTAGTCTTTTTTTTTTTTTAATCCTTAAAAATTCCCTCCTTAGTCATACCTTGGGGCTACTTTGCCAATGTCAATCGCTGCTCAATATCTGTGAAATCATGTGGTTTTTTATAGTTCAACGGTAGAGGTTACCGAATAATCAGCAAGATTCAGAATCCCTAAAAATCACCAGGAATGATGAATACAAAACCAAGTGTCGACCAACCTCAAGGTTACTCCCATGTTTCCACAAAAGTTGCCAATTTTGGCTGAAAAACCTCAATTTACATAGTAATTAGTTTTGGCGGATGGGGGAATTCGAAGGGTTGTGATATTGCACTTTTACTTGCATTTTCCATATTTTTCTGTGTGCTTTCATTGTGTTTTGAATTGTGTTTTAAGTATTCAGCTTGATTGCATTGTGAATAGAGGTCCAGAAGACATTGACATCTAAGTGAACTTCTTGATGATACTTCTTTCTGCTACTGAAGGGCAATGTCTGTTTGGAGCCAGAAGAACATTAACTCACATTCTGTAGCATACAGTTAATGCCCTTCTGGCTCTGAGCACGCACTATGTATACATTTGCATCATGTGTATTTTACATTTTTTATGTGTTTCTGAGATTGCTTTGATAATGCAATCTTTAAAAAATGAAAAACTACAGATTTATTACTTGTGTGTTTATGATTGTTTAGGTATAAACGTCCTTCAGCCTTTGTAAGTCTTTTAATGCTAAAGTTGATGAAGTTTGTGTATGTTGTTAAATAAGTGTATTGCCTTCTGAATTATCGAGGATTAGTCCCTCAGCCCTCAATAACAAATCAATTATTGACCTGGAAAATATATTTTTAGCTCATGTAACAGCTCATGTGAATGATTCTTTCACAAGCCATTTGTAATATGCCACAGCTATGTCCTTTTTTCTATGCATAGACACAGTGGCTCAGTATAATCTTGGTGCACAAACGTAAACATATCAACTTAGGAGACTTGGAGATGGGTCCTTTTGCTTCTCCTGAGAAGACATGCTTACATGTACTTCTCATTATCACACAAAGATGAAGAAACACAGGAATTATTGCACCTATTTTGGATGACGAAAACAAATTAGAGGATGCATTTGTATCAATCTAGCTACTTTAATTAAAAACCGTGCTCTTTGATTAGACTGCTATCGGCTGTGATTGGAATGCTAAAATGTCAGAGAATTTCGCTGAAGTTTCTTTTGATTCTTGTCAGCAGCAAGTACGGGGGAAGAACAATGCATTTTCCATCTGGACATGAAAAGTTCAATTTCTCCTAGCAAATAGCAGCCCATCAATCAGGAGATCGGATACAGCTCTTAAAGCGTTTAGATAAAGCAATCCTGATGCGCCCAATTATCACTTTCTATTTTTTGATTGGGGAAGAGGGGGGGGGGGGGGGGGGGGTTACTGTATATGTGTAAGTCTAGTGTAAAAGATCATTACAAGAAAGGTATGTGTTTTACATTTTTGGAGTTGCATTTTAATGACTAAAGGCTTTTTCAGATATGGCACGGTAAAGTGCATTAAACAAACTGCCGCATATTTTTTAAACGTGTAAATGAATGGCAGCAGCCAGTCACAAAGAACTAATGTGACTATTATTATTATTATAATTTGGTAATTTGGTAGAATTGGTTGCGGATACACTGTCCACACACACTATGTTACACTTTATCACACAGAGAATTCAAATGCTTCCATATTTGTTATATTCTCCACGTGAACACACACCATGTCCAAACACTCTTTACATACAGTGTCACAGGGAAAACCAGAAGTAAGGACAAACTAGCGTGTGCAAAATTTCTGAAGGTTTGCTTGGACATTAAACAAAAATTTAAAAATACAGCTATTTGCCTGTCACTGGATCCTTTTAGTCCTGTTAGTATTACAGCTATCAACAAAACATTTCTTTCACATGTGCAATTGTGCAACATTTGCTAAACAATAATATGTTGATATATAATTCTCCCAATTATCCTCAAAGAACCTTGCTTATTCAACACTTTAGTTGAGGAAAAACAGAAATGCGGTACCATAAAAGTAGAATCTCCTTGGGATTTCAACTAAAAGGAGAATAAATATATACCAGCTGCTTTTATAAGCTTTCATTAAAGGTGAAAACTTTTAAACTTTGTTATATTGCCTCAAATTAAAGCCATGACTTGAAGTGACCAGACCCGAGAAACTTCACCAGTGCCCAAAACGAAAGCATCAATTTGAAAGAGATAAAAAAGAAAGAGTTAGGCTATGAATGAAGGTTGATCCATTTTTAGATAGGCCTAATAATATAGTATCATTTATCACTTAGTCTAAAGTTTATGTATTGGAAGGAAACAAATTAAAGAATACATCAAAACTAAAGTTGCAATTAATCTTAATTTGGAAGATGACTATTGAAACCAAAGATATGAATAGATTGGGGTTGTATTCAAGTTGTCAATTCTGTTGTTGTGAAAGCTATAGTTACTTAAATTCAAAGTATTCTTTTCAAATAGGGAAACCAGATATAAGTATTTTTTATTCTTTCACGTATCATATGAAACTGCCTCTGTCATTGTTGAAATACAAGTTGATCAGTCTTCCATTACAAATGTTACCTTTTAAACATGAAGTGATTGCATATTCATTTACGAAATCACATGATTTGTTATTGGTTTTTTTAGAAATTCTTCAATGCAACAATCAATATATTCAAAACATAGGAAAATATATGTGACAACAATTGCAAAATATATATGACAAACAATTGCAAAATATATATTATAACAAAAAAAGTTAGACCAAATAGAAAATCATGAAGAAATTAAGGTGTAGAATAAAATAAATCCTGTACTCCTACCTTAACATGTATTAGGATGCATATAAGGACACTTCCCATACACTCCCAACATGCAATCTATCTCTCAAAAAAAAAGGGGAAAAAGAAAACATTCTCAAAAGTACAGTGTACTTGAAGCTGAAAATGTGTGGGATGGTTTTACTAAAGGAAGATAGTATTTACATAGTTTTCATCAGCTCATCCTGTTTAATAATGACTAATAAATA